AAATTCAAAATTTTATGTAAATTCAAACGCTTATCAACGGGCATCTGTTAAATATGTAGCGATTAGAGATGGGCGCGGGGCTAAATATACAAACCCAATCCCGACCATCCCGGGATTTAATTTTCAGGTCCCAAACCCGCCCATACTGACGTTTTTCAATTTGTACCGCGGGTCCCGTGGATCTCGATATCGATATCACTAAGTAAAATTCACATGGCTTTCAAATTAATTTTTAATGTTTATGCAATAGTTGTGTTTTTTTACAAATTATCCAGTAACTTGCCAGTAACTCTCCAGTAACTTTATTTCTAAGAATTCGCTCTCATAGAAAAAAATTGCAAAAAAAAGTACGTGAACGCTTTTCCAGTAATAATTTGCAAGTTTCATGAACAGCTGATAAATTGGTTGTTTATTCGCAGCAAATTCCTAATAAAACAATATATTTTGTATTTAAATAGGTTTATTTTGTGAATTTCTACAATAAAAACGCACAAACAGTTTCCTTATTAGTTTAAATTTCATCCAGCAACATGCGATCAGCTGTTTTTCGTACTGGCAAATTCTTACAAGTAAAAATTTATCCAGTAAAATCCAGTAAAAACTTGCAACTTCAACTGTCAATTTTCGCTCTCTCAATTTCCCCTACTTTGCAAATTTTTGCGTACGAAAACGCCAAAACATGAAAATTCGTAAAAGCTTTTACTGGATTTTACTGGAAATGAGTAAACAAACGCAACTAATATCCCAAAGCAAGAGCTCAATACGGATTTTACTAATACACGGATAATCCGGATGTTCGATATTGGTAAATCCGGATATTAACGGGTTAAGAAAATTAACAAATATTAGTTGGAAGTCCGAAATATGTACATATATGCATCTTTAGGTTATCCTTTGCTAATTTCATGTAATGTTTTTAGGAAAGATTTTCAGAATTTTCGAAAGTTGCGCCCGAAAATGTTTGAGGACCTTTCCGATACCCCCCAGCACACTTTTTTTAAATTTGTACCGAGAAATATTGATTTTCAAGAATTCTACACTATTTCTGCGAAAAGTTGTTTTTCTGTTTTTCCCCCACATAAAATACATGGAAAACTTTGAGCGCTTTGATTTTTCGATATAGAACAATCGTAGGGTGTGGCGGCATTGAAAATCCGCACCTTATCTTTTCACATACATTTTTGGGCCACTTTAGTGTACATACATACTCATTGTACATATCCAAGAATATTCATCAATAATAAAGAACGCACGAAATGATAACAAACAAGGGACATTTAAACAATAATATCAGCGGCTTGTTAGTCGTTTTATCGCTTCACTCTCTAAACATACATACATACATACATACAATGTAAAAGCGCTGAGAAAAACAATTAATAAGTGGACCACAGCAGAACACGCTATATATATAGATAATACACCATATATAAATATGTACTACTAAATTGCATAGTTTTTGTGTTGTAAGCATAAATCTAGTTTGGGGAGTTGTGTCATTGGCGTAATTGTCCGGTTAGTAGACCGATGTGAGTGCATACAGTTCTGGTTCATATCAATAGCAGTGTGTTCCTTAAGTGGGAAGAAGGACTTGTCCAAAATAAACTGAATACAAAATTATAATTCAAATAATATATAATTAGAGCAGAAATTAAATAAAATTAGAAAGTTTACAAGTAGGCAAAAAATTTTGTTCACAAAAAATAGCAGTAAAAACGAAAATGGTAGACTAAATTGAAAAATATTTTTTACATGTCATTTGTACAACACTGATTTAGCTGAAATATTACTAAATAATTATTAGAATCTATACATATTCAAACATTTCGTTGTTTACTTCCATTTTTTTACAAATATAAGGTACTTTGCTTTCACCGCTGTTTGGTTTTTGCTTGCACATGCAAATCAGCTGATCGTTTGACACTTTTCATGAACTTACAGGAAAAAAAACTTCGGACTAAATCCTGTAACTTCTGACTAGGAACAGTTGCTCAGTTACTCTCTCAAATGTGTTCCCACTTACAGGTTTTATGTCAATAGGAACGACTTCCTGCAAGTTCTGACTAAATCCTGTAAACCGGACTGCTATTGGAACAGACTAAATGTGTTCTCTTAAGTGGGAAGACAGGACTTTGTCCAAAATAAACTGAATACAAAATTATAATTCAAATAATTATATAATTAGAGCAGAAATTAAATAAAATTAAAAAGTTTACAAGTAGGCAAAAAAAAATTTGTTCACAAAAAATAGCAGTAAAAACGAAAATGGTAGACTAAATTGAAAAATATTTTTAAAAACAAGTTTTCAAAACGTGAACCAAATCGGACCCTAAATATGGATTCCACAAATATTTCATGTCTTGCGCCACTTATCGGCAAACATTTTTGGCGAGTTATTCTCTTTCATGTATCGAGGGCTTATATTCAATACACTCTATCTGCTTTGTGATGTTAGAACCCATCTGGGACTTACCTGTCATAACTGAGGTGAATTCTGACTTTGCAATTTAATAGTAAATTCTTCTGTCAAGCGCTAAATAAGGTCATCAATAATATCACCGATGACAGTTAAGTCTTAAGTGGACTTTTATGACTTAACTGTCATCGGTGATATTAATGATGACCTTGTATAGCGCTTAACAGGAGAATTTACTATTCATTTGCAAAGTCAGAATTAACATCAGTAAGAACAGGTAAGTCCCAGATGGGTTCTAACATCAGAGAGTAGTTTTTGTAAAAATTGCAGATAGAGAGTATTGAATATAAGCCCTCGATATATTTTATGTATTAGGACTGTTCAGGACATTGTGCAAGCCCAATAAGCATTTGGCTTGGAGATCAAGTGGAAATCCCGTAAAAATTCCAAGGTCCAATGTTGATTTTTATGTGTACCCCAAGCTCTCCAACCCATTCTCTAACAAAACGGCACATTTTTTTGTATGGAAAGTAATCTGAGTTCTCCACTTGAGAAAAGCTTTGATATCAATTTGAATTCAAATTTTAGTCAACTTTTAGTCAAACCTTGGGAAAAGAAATTTCTGTAAATTTGAAAGCGTACAGCTACTGGCACTGCTATTAATAGAAACATAACTCTACACACTATACATATGTAAGTATACATATCGCACACCGTTTTCAAAAGAGTCACAACTCAAAATTTAGCATTTTTGAGATTATGCGCTACAAATGCACGCACAGCTGTTATTTACCTTTCAGCAAAAGCTGGAGCGTATTTTTGTTATCATTTGTTAAAAAAAACCTATGGTAAAGTCGCCCTTGCCCATATGATTATCATGTGCTAAGACAACGTATTATTTTGAGTTGTGACTCTTTTGAAGACAGTGTGCGATATATAGATATATTCGAATTTGCGATCAGAAATGCGGCGCGCTCTTCTGGGAAAACAGTAGTTTTTGATATTTACATGCATAAATATTTATTTACAGAAGAAAATGCATTTTTAAAAATAGATGAGTACTTCATTTCCTTTAAATAAAAACTTAATCACTGCGCGCCCTGCTTACCCAGCAAAAATCTAAATATTTTATAAGAAATTTATTGACCTTTTTACAACGGTCTTTACACCATTTTTTGCTCAAATTGAAAAATTCCCTGTTTCTTACACTTCTCGTATCCTGTTTTATCGTAGTTATTCATGATACAAAAAAAGACAGTTTCAATAAATAAATAAATGGTGAGTAATATTAGCGGCCTTGCCTTGGTTGTTGAAATGAAAACTTTATAATTTTAAAGCTACATTTGTAGCTATATCTATTAAATTTTTTTGGATCAATGGTGGAAAATGTCGAAAAACAAACTGAAAACGGAAACAGTGAAGAAGCAAAATTTTTGGGAAATCTTTAGCTATTTGTACAACGATTTAGGGGTGGGGCGGAGGGGAGGGGGCGTGGCCCACCAAACTGAAGAAGGGCGGCTGAACACCTTTTGCAGAGAACACCTTTCTGCGTAGACGGCCTACGTAGAATTCTCCTTTCTGTGTGACATAAATGGGGCTACCGCCCCACTGATGTAACCTTGGGAAAGGATGAGGTAACTAGAATTTCCTTTCTGTGTGGTAAACCTGGGGCTGCCGCCCCAGTGATGGCTATTTTGGTTACTGGGTGTTTTATAAAAATATCTTGTATATAAAAATGTATATACAAATTTATAACAAAAATTTGCAACAAATACCATATTTCCAACCGACATTATTGTTAAATTAGTGCACAGATTTAGTAAATTAAATTTTTATAATAAAGCGTGAACTGTTGTCTACAAGTGTGTGTAAAAGTTTTTTGATTTGATTGACGCGCTTGGGCACAGCAACCCAAAATCGTTGCCTAAATTCATAAACAGTACCCCCGCTTTGCGAATGTCATTAAAAAATTCGCTAAACTTTGAATGAAATAGGAAATTGTCCATTATTGTAAATCTCAGCCAATAATCTTCTGTGTCCGCACGACCCTGTCTTTAAGAACAAAGCAATTTCCAACAGGGATTCGTTTTATTTTATTATTTTTGCCCTATCCTTTATTTATTCGTATTTCGCTTCCTAATCCATCGCACTCGATCGCCCTTCACAACAAAAAGGAAACAGCNCTTCTGTGTCCGCACGACCCTGTCTTTAAGAACAAAGCAATTTCCAACAGGGATTCTTTTTATTTTATTATTTTTGCCCTATCCTTTATTTATTCGTATTTCGCTTCCTAATCCATCGCACTCGATCGCCCTTCACAACAAAAAGGAAACAGCGCACCACGATTCCCTTTTGCTGGCGCACATGCGTTGCCAAATGCCAAATGTGGTGGAAAAAGGATGTAAAAGAGCAGTGCTAAACATGACTGTCAAAAAATTGCTGCAAAGTGCAAGATCATACACTCATACAAACAAACACTTAACAAAAATGTCGATCCTTGCAACATGTACAGAAAACATAAAAACATCTGTATCTAAGAATATTTGTAGTTTGTGATAATTGCTTACTAAATTATTTTACTTACTTGCTAGAGGGCTTGCTGTTGTCAGTGATGCCGGCAAAGTTGCTGTTACTAATCATTTTGCTTGGTTTTTCAGTAATGTAGAATTAAAAATGTTATCGCGATGCGGTTACACCGTACGAAAGATGCGCGCACGTTCACAAATCAAATTTTGTAGTTAACCGCTTGGGTACCTTTTCAACACTTTTTAGGTTAGCACACTTTTTTATAAGTATACAACTTTTTTGAAGCACAATTTGCACACTACAAAATACTTTACAATGTAGCGGTACTACAAAATGCAATGCAACCAAATTAGTAATATAAACTGGATAAAAGCGAAATGACGAATGAACGATAGCAGACGAATGACCGGATGGTACAAAAGACGCAAAGTGAATGAAATCAAATAACCGGCGAAAAGACTAGCGAAGCACGATTACCGAAAAGCAAGAACGATTTTTTAATCGGCAAATTCGACTTGTATATAATATCGATTTCTTCTTGAGTGACCAATTTTGGAGAGATTTTCGCTTCCACATTGAGGAATTTAAGTGTTTTTGGTCATGCAACTCTGCTGTGGTACTTTTTTAATTCTATTACAATTCACATAATAAAATCCACATTAGTACAGTCGACGAAAGAGGACCACTGATAGATTCCACAAAAATACGCCACACAGATTCATTAAACATCTACAAATAGGAAAAGTTTGGAGATTTTCCTTAAAATATTGTCAAAATATAATAAAATTAACTAAACATTGCCAGTACAGTGAACTGAAAAATTAGCGTATGCTGTTTTGCGACTAAGGCGTCAAAGAAAGTTCGCAAAACAAGTTTTGTTAATGTGGTTCCTGAAAGCTGCAGAATCACAAGAGGAAAATGTTGAATCCCGTTTCGACTGAAGCACTACTCTACTCGGCAACGTATGTCGATAATTACATAGACTCCGTGGAGAATCTTCCAGACGATGTGCAGCGGCATTTGTCACGCATACGTGATATAGATGTTCAGTACAGGAGTAAGTAATCTAGTGGCTAAGCGAACCTAACCTTTTGTGCAATGACGGCGCCCCCACATATCTGATTGCGAAATTTTCTTATTTATTTTAAAAACTTCTAGGTCTGCTTCGTGATGTTGATCACTACTATGATTTGTGGCGTTCACTGCAAAATAATAACAGCAGCGATGCGAATTGTACAAGACGTGCTCGTGCTATAGCGCGTATGCAGCAAAGCCTCATTCAAGCACAGGAACTTGGTGATGAAAAAATGCAAATAGTGAACTTATTGCAAGAGTTAATCGACCATAAAACACGGCAACTTGATACAGATCAGAAGAACCTCGACATTAAAGAAGAAATTCAACAACAACAAAGTCGAATAGACCAACTACAGCAGGCCGATGATATCGGCGGAGCTACACCAGCAAAACAAGCGCGGACAGCTAGTCCAACTCGTGAAAACAACACTTATTGTGCAAATGGTAGCTAATTGTCTTCTTGTATGATTAGACTGCTCTTTTTACTAAACGAAGTTTTATTTTAGGCGGTTCATCTGGTGGCGGTGGAGGCTCAACTCCAAATTCTGAACGATCTAGCCATGCAAGTAATGGCACGATAGGCAGCGCTACTGCCAATGGCACGAACACCGTAGGTACTCCTGCTTTAACAGGTGTGGAAAATCAACGTTCAGCCAGCAAACGCTCACGAAGACGGAATGAAAGTGCAGCAGCCAATAATAGCAATATGGAGTATGGAGGAAATGAATCAAACTCCGCTAATGAAGGAGGCGGCGGTAGTAACAGTGGAGGTGCGGGTAATGAACGTTCATCCGTACAAAAGTCAGTAGGTGGTGGTGCGGCACAGAAAAAGCACAATACTCAGCATCAAAACAGTGGTGGCAGTGGCGGCGCAGGCGGCGGAAATACATCTGGTGCAGGTGCTGGTAGTAGTGGTAACAATTCTGGCAAGAAAAAGAAAAGAAAGACACGCGGCGGTCAATCATCAGCACAGGCGAGTGTACGCGAAGAAACACCACCTCCGGATCCCATCGATCCGGATGAACCCACATACTGCGTGTGCAATCAGGTGTGTACAAACAACTTTGAAATTAAATACTTTCACAGACTCTTTAAACATATATACTTTTTATTTATAGATATCTTTTGGCGAAATGATACTCTGCGATAACGACCTGTGTCCAATCGAGTGGTTCCACTTTTCGTGCGTTTCACTGGTTCTGAAGCCGAAAGGAAAGTGGTTCTGCCCGAATTGCCGAGGTGATCGTCCAAATGTGATGAAACCAAAAGCTCAATTCCTCAAAGAGCTGGAACGGTATAACAAAGAAAAAGAGGAAAAAACCTAAACATGCCACAAGTGTCACCCCAACAGTAAATTAGAAGAATAGTGAAACGTTAGGCCTGAGAGAACCGTAAACACCAAAAGCGCTTGATGGCAATATACAAACAATTGCATAATAACAACGAAAAAAGCTTTTGCATTAGTTACAATATTCATTTTGTCTCGTGCAGGCATTGATATCAATTGTATTCAATGTATATATGCAATTAATATTGCTTTTTTTTTTTGTTATATTGAATATTTTAATTTGTTGGTTTTTTATTTTAATTTCCTATTATGCTACAATTGTTTACCTTATTTGAAATTCGAAAAAGAGTTTGGTCGCCTGCACATGATTCGTTACTTTCTCATGTCATATCAACAACACGCAAAATGTGATTACGGCTCTCATATTGCTTGATATTTATTGTTTAGTTTCCTCTTTTTTTTGTTTATAATGTACATTGTATTAGAATAATTTAAAGACCTAGTACGTAAAAGCAGTAAATACATATTTTATACATAGAAAATGTAAAATTACACAAAAGAAAATATTGAGGAATATCTTGTAAACTTGTAACATGGAAAACTTTCAATTTTACTTTGGTAAATGGATTTTATTATTTTAATTTAAACAATATACTAATAGGATATACATATACCCATGTATGTCTAAGCAATGCGTCAGATACTGGCATAAAAACTCCTCCTTTAATGAGCTTTCCCTTTTACTTAAACATATGAAAATAAGACCTTAATTATAGTCAGGCAGGTTCTGCAATTCACTTCCGAGTGATTTTCAACCAAAGTCACTTTGAATTCAAATTGAATGTGGTTGAAATTCACTCGAAATTGAATTGCTGAACCTGTCTGAGTTTGTACTTTATTTAGAACATACATTTTGACGTTGATTTTGTTTTGAAATAAATCTGAAGTTTCTTAAAATCATACATATTTTTTCTTACATTTCGAAGAAATTTTAGTTTTCATGAGTGAAACCAAAATGTATTCAACAAAGTGTGATTGAATTTGACATTGCACCATCCTATAAAGTCAAATTGAAAAAATTTTGTGTGAATTTTGAATCGATTGTTTATATTTTTGGCATAATAGTACCTTAAAAGAGAGCCTACCTGAGGTGTCAATCAAACCTTGTTTAATACACCTTGGTGAAACGGGCATTGGTTTTCTCTAAAGCGGCGCCTACTAAAGCGTGGATCAAAATATATATACATACATATCGTCGCCTGGGTAAAAGATTGTCGTATGTTGATTTGGGCAGGTTGCGGAAAATCGCGATTGAAGTTTGGAATGCAATTTTTCAAAAACGCGAATATAGATTTCTCCAAAGTATCTGAAAATGTTACTAGTTCACAAAATTCTTAAATTATTAAATTTTTAATGTTTAATGTTAATTATGTTTGAGTTTATGAAGGATTTTCTTTAGTAAAATTTGTCGTAAACGTCATTTGTCCACAATTTGGCAGCCACTCTGTATGTTGTATGTCCAGACCACCATACTATAAATATAGCAAAGGTATTTATGCCAAACCTAGTCTAGATATCATCCTCGTCGTAGGTATCATATCAAAGACACACAATTAGAAAAACTCTAGAGATAGGTGTCGCCTCGCCAGAAGAAGTTAAAAATGTGCACTACATACGCCACAGCGGAAATGGACGACACGCCATTTATTTAAATGAAATTAAACGCTTCTATATGTATGTATGTACCAGAGTTGTGAAAAATGCATTAACTTTTTTAACGCATAGCATTTTAATGTAAATGAAAAAGATTAATGCATTAATTTTTGATATTTAAGACCTGTATGCAGCTCTCAAGAAAACGGTCAAGAAAAAATTGCCATTATTTCGCGAGTGTGTCCAAGGAATTTTGACATTTTTGATACCTCACNTTTTTGATACCTCACAGCCTGTTGCCTAACTCTTTCCTCAAGAAATAATGGAACGGGCATATATTTCCGTTGCAAACCTGGGTTGCCTTGCGCTCTTTTTTCACAAAAAAACTTTAGAAAACCGTAGAGAAAGCGTAGTAAATTTCTTAAGAACTGCGAACTGCTTTAAGAAAATT